CTTGTTTAGGGACAATGTGAAGTCTATCGTTCAAGGTTTTCTTCCTGGTATTGCATTAAAGATCTTCCTAATACTTCTTCCTACAATTCTCATGACGATGTCCAAGATCGAAGGTCTCACTTCCCTTTCTTCTCTGGATAGACGTTCGGCCGGAAAATATCATTTGTTTTTGCTTGTTAATGTCTTCTTCGGAAGTATTGCCGTGGGAGCAGCTTTCCAGCAGCTCCATAGGTTTCTCAACGAGAGCCCTTCAGAGTATATTTCTCTATCTCTCTCTCTCTCTCTCTATATATATATATATATATATATATATATATGGACACTTCCCAAATGATTTTCCCTCCACGATTTAGGCCGTGCTTGTTTATAGAAAAACTAGAAAAAAATCAGTTTTTTTTTTCCTGGTTTTTTTATGTTAACTAGAGTTTATTTGAAAAATAGTTAGTATGGTTAGTTGTTAGTGGGAGTTTAAGAATGTATTAAATAATATTTAAAATAAAATTATTAAAATTGAATTTTGATGTAAAAGTAGGAGATAAATGATTGGAAATGATAGGTAGTTAAAATCATGTGAGTGGATGAATAGTGAATTAAAATTGATGTGATGTGTAAAAATAATTAAATGATATTATTTAATTATATTAATAATATTGAAGTTAGTGGGGTTGAGTTAAAGTTGAGTTAGATTTTGAATTGAGATAGATCTTTTTCTATTTTTTTTTTTAGAAATTTGATAAACAAGTACGGCCTTAATTTCTTGGGTAATTTTACAACGTAACTAGATTAATGCGAAATCTGTGACTTAATCCCATTTCTTCAACAAAAAGGTGATGCCTTTTTTTTTTTTTGTTTGGGTACACTGCAGAATTCCAAAAACTATTGGTGTTGCTATTCCAATGAAAGCCACTTTCTTTATTACGTATATTATGGTTGATGGTTGGGCTGGAATAGCTGCTGAGATTCTTCGATTAGTCCCGTTAATTATGTTCCACCTAAAGAACACATTCTTGGTTAAGACAGAACAGGACAGAGAGCAGGCAATGGATCCCGGTTGCATAAGTTTCGCCTCGTGTGAACCTCGTATTCAACTGTACTTTCTGTTGGGTCTCGTTTATTCAGTTGTCACGCCGTTTATTCTTCCCTTCATAATCGTGTTTTTCGCCTTTTCCTATGTTGTTTATCGCCATCAGGTAAAAGTCATATATTACTCTTATTAGTGCGGTTCATTTTGAAGTTTTTGCCTTTTTCTTTTACGGTTATACAAACAACTTTTTAAATGTTTAATCCAATCAGGGAAAAAAAAGAACCCATCAAAAGTTGTGTTTTTTCACACTTTACCAAGGGGCATTCGTACGAAAACTAACTGGAATTTCTTCAACTATCGTTTTTTTTATGCAAATAGCTGAGAAATTTTGTGTTTTGATTCTTTAAATGCAGATTATAAATGTTTATGACCAGAAGTATGAAAGTGGAGCTGCATTTTGGCCTGATGTTCATCTTCGTATAATAGTCGGCCTAATAATAGCCCAATTACTGCTGATGGGCTTGTTGAGCACGAAGGAAATTGGCCCATCAACTCCAGTGTTGCTCGTGCTACCCGTATTGACCATTTGGTTTCATTATTTCTGCAAAGGCCGTTTCGAGTCAGCTTTTGTCAAGTTCCCACTGCAGGTTAGTTAGTCTAAAAGGCCATTCTACCGAACTTTTCTCTTTCAAAAAGAAGTTTATTTTATCTATTTTTCTACCACCTATCATGTGGTAAAAGGTTATATATAGTACATAAGCTACAAAAAAATTTGAGTAAATGTTACTCTTTTTGCACTTCGAATTGAGTATTTTTTTTCTTTTTTTTTCGAATTGTCTTGTTTTGGGAGAAACAAATGATTTTGGGTTTGTTTTTTCACGACAGGAAACAATGGTGAAGGACACGTTAGAAAGGGCAACCGAGCCAAACTTGGATTTGGAAGCTTATTTACAGGATGCTTATTTACATCCTGTGTTCAAATCTTTCAATATTGAGAGGCCATCTGCAGCATTATTTTTTGACGAGGCTGAGAATAATAGTTCGATTGTCTCGACTAAGAGAAATTCTCAAAGGAGCAGTAAAGCTCCTTCTGCTGGCATGACTCCTGAAGTCGTGCTAAGATGATGAGCTTTAATGAAGGATATCTTTTTATTTATTTTGGGTCCATTTCTTTCATTTTCTCCTTTTGGAGTTGTTAGAATTGAGAGAGCTTATTGTTTGGCTGTTGTTTCTTTGTGGGAAAGCCCTTGATTATAGAATGTCAATATTAGTCACAAATGATTGTTAATAATGTTGTACGAATATTATTTATAAAATAACAGCTATACTAACAAATAATTCATCAGCAATGTGGATTCATAAAATGTTTAACAAATAAAATGAATCATAAAATTTATAATATATTAATAACAACATTCAAACTGAAACACTTGAAGAAACATTCTGCAACACAGATTCTTTGAAGAACTGAACTTCGTTTATATACACACAACACAGAAAGTTAAAAACAGAGAGCAAAAAAAAAATCGAGCACACATTTGAGAAAGCATGGACTACCATTTCAAATTAATTGCTAGATCCAGAAGAGCTTCAACTTGGCGAATGGTTCGTTGTTTTTCCTGCTGTTTTAACCGAATGGCAACAGACTCTGGATCGAGGGATTGCGTATTGACGGCTTCTTCTGGTTGGGGTCGAACCTCTTGGAGCAGCTCGTTAACTTCTCTCACAAAATCCACCCTCAAAAGAACATCATCGACCGCCTCAAAGTTTGGTCTGATTGGTCCTTGATGCTAAAATGAAATTGCATAAGAGCCAAGGAGTTCAAATCAGGTAATAAATCAATAAGAACAACAGACTAAATTTGTAAAATAGAAACTATTATCAACAGGGTATTTAGGGGATGCTTGGATACAAGTATTTTTGTATTTTGTTGAGATTTTTTTTTTTTGTTTTATTTGGTTAATTTTAAAAAATGTGGTATGGTTAGTTGTTAGTGGAATTTTGAGTTTATATTAAAACAATATTTAAAATAAAATAATTAAAGTTAATTTGATATAAAATAGAAGAGTGATGATGTGAAGTGATGATTATGTGAGCGGATGAACAGTAAGGTAAAGTTAATATAATGTGTAAGAATGCTTGAATGATATTATTTTGTTATATTGATAACCGGAGAGTGGGAGTGAGTTAAATTTGAGTTAAAAAAGTGATGGTTAAAATTGATTGGATTTTTTGGGAAAATCCATACCCTAGCATGGTCTTACTATTTCGGGGAAAAATTTGGCACGGTTTCTTTTTATTTTATCATTTCTTTGAGTATGATTAGATTGAACCCCAAGAGCATCCTCGGTAAATTAAAACCTTAATAGGAAGCTATTATGTCCTAACTCAAGTTCTACATTTGCGAGTTTTACCTTATCAATGTCAAATCCAGCAGGTACGAGAATGCTAAAAGGGTCCTCCCTGGGAAAAGCTTCGACCATAAGCTTCTTACATTCCTTGAGCCAACCGTCATCATCAAATCCATCGTGCAAATTCAGTAGTTCATTGAGTAGTCTCATAGCTGGAGTTGCCTCTCGTTTCAAAATCTCAGTCTAGAAAGCATATATAGAGAGAGAGAATGAAGAGAATGACATGCCTAGATAGGATACGGACAAACAATAATTTTAACCACAACTTAAGGTGCGAATGCTGGAAAATCACGCTATGGCAAAGTAATATAGACTATGTTCGATAAAAATAGTTGATAACTAATAAACTAGCATATAGCTTATAGCTTATGATTTATAGCTGACGATCTAGCTTATATGATAAAAGTGTTTGGTAAAATTAGCTGATAAGCTAGCTGAAATAAAAATTTCAACGGGCTTATTTGAAAAGCTACTAAAAAAAAAGTATGAGATAAGCTCGAGCGTTTTAAGAAAGTTTGTCCTACCAAACGAAATTTATTTGAATGGAGGAAGCTTATAAGCTGACAAAAAAAGCTATAAGCTAGCTTATTTGGTTACCGAACATAGTCATAGTACTTACACAAATGAGATGCAAGACAAACGAAAGGGCTATAGGTCATAGCCCAATTAGTGCGCTTTTTTCTTTGCAAAATAAATTAATCAAGAAACACAACAAGCAAAAAAAGTCTTGAGAATGATGCATACCTCAACCCTCCGGTACAAGAGATCAAGACTTCTAATAGCATCCTTTTCATCCTGATACAAGTATGAGGAACTCTAATGTCATTTAAAAAAGGTGAACAGAATAATTATGAAGTTCAAAGGTCATTTCCAAGATATAGCTTCACCCGCATAACAAAAGCTTGCAGTTTTGTAAGGATCACAAATGATCATCATATATTTGTATAATTTCAAACATATGAAATTAGCCTAAACATATGAAATATATATAGCTGCTGATATATAATTACACAAATCCAAAACTCACATCACGTCGAGCTAGATCAAGGCGATTCCATATCACCAATAGCACTAATTCACTCAGTTCGCCTCTCTCAGCAGCTTCCACAATTTTCTGCAAGCGATTGCTTAGAAAAACCAAAACATTAGCCCGGATCTTTTAGTTTAGCTAATTTAGCAAGAACACTAACAGCACAAAAATACACACACACAACAACTCTGGTAAATCTGAATTTATCTTCTCTAAGTCAGTTCATCAGCTGCCTAATCACATATCTACACCCAAACTGGCGAAATCTCGAAAAAAACGTGGAAGCAAAACCGGGGGGAAAGGGTAAATTAATCCAAAAAAGCACATAATCTTCAAGAGAAACTGAGATACAAAAATTGATAAATTCGACTAATAGGATACCTCTTCAACCTCCTCGGCCGATTTTATGAAGCTCGAGACCAACTTCCTGGCTTTTCGAAGCTCTTCCTCTGGAAAGTCTTTCAGCCTCATCCCGATCTCACGATACTCGTCGACCTTCCTTTCCTCCTCCTCGTCTTCCTCCTGCCGCCTCCTGTGCAGCTCCTTCGTCTTCTCCCTCTGCCTCGCTTGCCATTCCTAAACTCACATCGATTAGTCCGACTATTTCACGGCACTACAAGTGATGTTAAAGCTCCGATTGAAGTGAAATAACCAAACAGATGAATTTACTCGCAAATTTGTACTTCTTACATCGTCGTAATACTCTTTCGGGAGACCTTGCAGGTCTTGCTCTTCAACCTTCTTGCTTTTGCGCAAAGCTGATGATTGCAGACAACAACGGCGGGCCGACGGAACCACCGGAAAAATGTAATTAGTATTTTTTCGAAGCTTTGAACGAAGATTAAGAGAAGAAAAATGAGAAAAAATGGCGGAAAAAGCTTACTCTTGAAAGATGAGGGTAATGGGAAAGGCTTGATGCATCTTGATAAGGTTGAAGAATTCGCCAATGGCGGGATTGCGGTGCACGATAGCAGGTGCAAGGTTTTTGCCTCCATTTTTTCTACTTTCTTTTTTTTTTTGCTTTTTGGTTCTATTTTATGGGGTGTGCACCAGTAACCTTTTGTGGGGGGTTTTTATGGGGTTTTAGATGTACAATTTTTCCACCAGTACTTGAATTTATTTCTTTTACCTGTTTCTTCTTGTTATTTATAATAATTATAATATAATATTATATATAATGTAATTTTTATTTTGTATTGTATTGAGTATTTAAGTGTTCAACTTCAGGTAGATTTCACTCTACATGTAATTAGAGTAGATTTCATTCCACATACAGTTACAGAGAAATCATTAGTTTTTTAGATTGACACACTCGGTGTAGTTGCATATGTGTTGATTTAACTGTAAAAATAACTCGATTGCATTGTGCTACCACTGAACTTTTAACTATTGCATCAACACACCGTCAGTAGATCCGTTTTGTTGTTGTTCTTGCCCCAATGAACGAAGCGAAACGAAGAGAAGTCAGAAATGACGAAGCGAAGTTCAGAATTGTAAAAGAAATAAGATCTAGGGACCCCCACGGAGCGGTAGCCACTTCAGGAAAGAAGAGAAGAATATGAGAGATGCTGACCTTCGGTTTTATCCAGATATAACCTTGGAAAGAAGTAGGCCGAAGATAGAAAATGATAGAACTGATTGACCTCGACATGACTTTCTAGAACCGGTCTAAGCCACAATACAAGGTGCACGCTGCAAAAGAAAGAAATGGGAGTTTTTGGACGTAAAAGTTGCTTTCTTATCTTATTTGGAGATCTTTCTAGTTGGGGGTTTCTCTCCCTTATTTCCTTTGGGGTGTTCTCAAACACTAGAACTTTTAACTATTGCATCAACACACGCTCTCTATATAAGTATTGTATATTGATCTGATGGTTAAAAAAAAAAATCGATAACTACATCTCTGTGTAAGTATGTGTATATTGATCTCTAATGGTTAAAAAATGTCAATAACCACATTGTACAATTATATGTAGATTTAAATCATCCAACTTGGGTTCTTCAAATCAACACTACACTAGTGTGGGTATGTGTTGGTTTTAACTGCAAAAAAAAAAATTGATGATTACACTAGTGAGCTTTTTACCATTAGATCAACACACTCTGTGTATATATTGATCTAACGGTAAAAATATCAATAAGTGCACTGCAATTGTAAGTAGATCAAATATTCCAACTAGCCCCCTAAGTGCTTCGTGTAGCTAGTTTAGTATCATTTTCTCAGTATGATACAAAAGCTTTCGGTCTAAATCTGCTCTTAGAATCGAGGTCTTCCCGTGACTATAACTTAGTGTCATTTTTCAATAAGATCTACACAAGTGTTGGGTCTCTTATCTCCTATCAGAAGAAGAATTTTTACTACCAACTCCCTGCAACAGGAAAAAATTCAAAACCTAATCCAACTTGTAAATTAACCCAATGTCTTCCAGCACCTTTTCCCCCCATCCAAAAATGTCCAGTCCAGTGGTAATGTCACTTCACTTCCTACTATACAGAGAACATCATTTTCCCAAAACACAAGTGACACATCACATGGTAAAAACACCAACTATAAACACACACACACACCCCTATACCTCTACCTAAATTCAAGAAGCTTTATTCTNNNNAAAAAAAAAAAGAACACTCAAACCCCAGCTTCAATAATAATCTCTGCTGCAGCCCCCATTGTCCCGATCCCACTTATCCCGAGCAGCGCCACCGCCATCTCCTCCTCGTTGCACTGCCTCAGCCCCCGACCCACACTTTTCAAAACCTCCGCGTCCACCTCTAGCATCCACCCTGGCGTACACCCGATTATCAAACTCAAGTAACCCGTCACGTAAGCCCTCCACATCGTCCCGTCACACCCGAGCGATACCTTCCCGTTCAGCGCGCTCCCCACAAACTCCAAGTGATTCTCCAGAACCTTCCGCCTCCTCCTCTTCGCCCCTCCCTCACCTCCTCCTCCTCCCCCCGAGCGATTTTCCTCCCCCACCCCCCACGCAAAAAGCCCCGACATCACGGCAAAGTACGCCAGCGCGTAACCCCCCAGAGTCGCCATCACCGGACGGGCCGCGGACTGGCCCGACACGAACCATGATGGGAGTATCTCCTTGAACACGGCGAGAACCGAGTTCACCCCGCCAGTCATCCAGATCAGTGAGGCCCCAAGCGAGGCTGCTGTCTTGACGCGGTCCATCGCGCCGGCAAGCGACACCTGTCCGTACCTCGACCCATGCCGAGTTTTCCTCAGCTTCTGTGCACTCTCGGAGATTTCCTCGACCGTTTGCATGAGGAGATGAACCATCTGCTCGGTCATGTGGATAACGCTCCTTACGGCTCGGTGGACTCGGAGGTAGAGAGTGCCTGGGGCAACGGCGGAGGAGTGGGACCCGAAGCCGTGCCCGAGGAGTGGGCCGACTCCGCCGGGAGAGGAGGGGAGGCCGAGGGCAGAGGAGAAGCAAGCGCGGAGGAGCTGGACGATCGAGTCGTGGTTGTGGTGGAAGATGGTTTGGGAGGCGCCGTAGATGAGGAAATCGGACCATCGTTTGACCTTTTGGGACCAAAGGGCGGAGATTATGGGCATACTAGGCCAAGGGCAGCCCACGCCGAGGTGGCTAAGGGCAGGGCCCATTAAGGATAGGTAGCGGCGGTCGTTGAGACGGTCAAGCTTGTAAGTTATTGTGAAGCTAATGAGGGCGGCGAGAGGGAGAGGGAGAGTCACGTGGGAGCTTGCGCCTGCAAGCGGGGAAGAAAGAGTTTGAGTCAGTGTAATGTTGACAGGTAACGGATCAAAACCGATTTTGATTGAATTTTGAGTTGAAGTGAGTTAGTTTTTATATTATTGAAAATGTAATGATCAAAATTGATGTCATGTAAAAATAGGAGAGAAGTTGTTTGAAATGATAGGTAGTTATAAATATGTGAGTGTATTAATAGTGAATAAGATGTAATGTGAATCATGCGATGTATGCGGATGACTGATTGGTATTATTTAATTATTATATTGATAATATTGAGAAGAATTGGGTTAGATTAAATTTGAGTTAAATTTTGAGTGAAAGAGTAAAAATATTATCCGATCCGGTCAGAAACAAGCATCGCATCGCAGGTACATCAATTAGTAGGTATGAGAGTGAAAGAGTAAAAATATTATCCGATCCGGTCAAAAACAATTTTGATCCATTACTAATCGCAGCCTCACTGTTAACTGATAACATATGTTGTGAACTTTTATAATATACAACTGGAAGGTTGCAGAAGCATATGCTCGATATAAAAATAAATAGCAAGTCTGCGTAAAGAAGGTTTAGAGAACTAAATAGTAAATACGCACCTACAGCAAGACATGGGACATTGACACCAGTGGCAGCAAGGATATTCTTAATCTGTTCTTCAACCATGGATAGATTTGCAGCAGGACTTGGCCAGTCGGTTCCGTTCATAGAAGCATGCTTCCAAATACCCCTACTCACTTCTGCTGAAAAGTAACTTATCATGGTCGCCAAGGAAGCAGGAATAAAATCAGCAAGATCTTTGAGTCCTGAGACATATATCATAGTAGTCACCCTTCAGTTTATGATATTATGCCTCCCAGGAAATAAAAAAAAAAAAAAGGTAAAAAAATATAGGTACACAGGAACCAGTGTTTAGTCAATATATTTTTTTCTAAGAAACACTACAAGCAGGATACTAGCATATATATAAATTGTTAACCTGTAATCAATTCACGTGGGGATAGTCTCCCATGGGCGCAGGCAGTGAGAGCAGCATCAAGTACAAATGGAACAGCCTCGAGTATGTCCCAGGCAGGAAAGTTAAGGCGGAGAAAGAATTCATCAGGGCCAGATGCAGATGAGCTGCTGCTTCCTGAAGTTGTAGGAGTCAAAGTTTGACCTCCTCTGCTAATTCTTCTAAACATCATGCTAAGGAGTGCTTCAACAATCTGATGGATCGTGTTTCCAGGTACCAGACTGGAAAGAATAGCGCCAATGCATTCTTGATGCTTTCTGTACCAATGTTTGAGCTTCGGGAAGGAATCCATGAATACGGGGCCCCTCGAAGATGGATATGACAATCTTGACCGTCTATTAGTTTTATTTTGATTTTTTCTTAGATTCTCATGGGAAGCTAGCTGGGAGTTGTGCACCAATAGGAGGAAGTCCAGAGTTAAATGAGATCCCACGGGAGCACCATCTCCCATTACATGTTCCAAAGGTGGGTGATCAAATCTCCATAGCTTCAGCAGCAGAGTAAATGCATTTGAAAATACAGCATAAGAAGCAAGCTCCTCCCCGTTAACTGTCCACGACATATTGCGTGCAGAGGAACCGAAAACCTCACATATTGGCATCAATGCAGCTGCAAGTTGAGGAACCTGGAACAAAAGGAGTTTAAGTGTATCACGCATAGAACTTTACCGTTTGTTCTTTCTTTCCCCAAATAATGATGTCCTCTAGCTCATAATTGTTCTTAATCACGTGGTTTGAATCCATGCTACATTTTATTTCTGTAAATACTAAAATAGGTGTAACTGATGGCCAGAGAAAAAAAACTGGTCAGAGTGATAGTTTATATACAGGTCTTGTATTTGCTTATTAGATCATAACTTGAATGGTAAAAATATTACTATTATTATTAATTTTTATTTCTTATTATTATTTTTTTTTTGGGCGTGCCATTCAACTTCATGAATACACACTTAGAAATCAGGAAAGACGGATGAATCATGAAAGGGGACCTACCAAGCCGTGCAAGGAAAATATCTGAACACAGACAGATGATATCCCGACAAGAAGCACATTCAAAAATGGAGCACAGCCTATCAAGTGACTCTCAATTCCAGAAAAATTTGTAGGCACAGCCGGTGAAAGCAATTTCATTATCATGTGGAGTATATGTTCCTGCAAACAAAGCAACAAGTCAATAAATAATCTTTACTGAAATAAGACAAGAAGTGCAATTAACACATTATTATTAAAAAGAGAAATATTTGAAGGTATTGATCTAAAATGATTTCTCAAGTACCAACCTCCTCCACAACAGGAATGCAGAGAATTTGCTAGCGTCACCGAATATGGGAACAGGGTAACATGTTTGGTTCCATTAATTAAGTATTAATTCTCATATTATATATACAAAGTTAGATAATCTTTACCTGTATAGTCCACCCACGAAAAAGAGACGCCCCACAAAATATTGTAGCAGCAGAAATCTTCTCCTCATCCGAACCACTGACAGCAATCTCGTATACCCTCTCTATTTCTGCTAAGCTTGTATCAAATCCATAAGCTCAAACTCAGTTTCAGTACCAATGAGATGTACCAGAATGTAGGGTCTGAGCACCACTAGCTTGAATTAAATGATCAAATTCATGTTTTGGCTGTCTTATTGCATAAATGCTTCTGGTCTTATATTCACTTGCTTACTGACAAGTATATCAGAAATGGATACTGCAACTGATAGGGAGTACTATGGTTGGCAACAGAAAAGTTGTTCGACTTATCACAAATTTGACCATCATTTAATTACTCCTGTTTCTTATTTAAAGAATTCTTGCAAATATACTGATTTTTTTTTTAAAGAATGAGGAAATCTTGTTGGAATCCATAAAGTAATCAGTCTTGCTATTGCAGGCTAAGCTATTCAGAAATTCACCCAAAAGATACAGGAGTTATATCCAAGCAGTGTTATTAACAGCGGATGGCAGTAAATGACGGTTGGCCAAAATTCCGCCTTAGCGGCCGCTGTGGCGGCCTATGGCGCCGCCATAACCACCAACCTTCACAAATTTAGCATGGCGGTTTGTCAAAAATCCACCACGCCATACCGCCATGGCCGCCATTGATAACACTGCATACTGACTAATAAATTGACCGCCCACCAAAAGCATTGCCAAAAGTACAAGCCAAAAGTCAGAAGTTACTAAAAATGACCTTATTGTCATTTCTCAGTTACAAGGGATCATATCATCATAAATATGCTGTGATTTAGGTAATCAAAGGACAAAATAGTAGCTATACGATGAAAGGTAAAAGTAATACATTCATCAAGAGACTGCAAAATAATGTTACAAAATTAGAACTACAATCTACCTAGTAGCTGGAGTTGATACCAATGCACTGATCATGGGAGGAGTTAAAGGCGACCCTTCCATAAATGATGACCAACCAGGCATTTGCCCGGAAATGTTTCGTGGTATTTGACTGCAGCGACCTTTTACATACCCAGGCCACATATATGCTGACGTGTCCAGAACATTTCTAGCAATGCAAGCCTCGACAATCAAATGCCGAAGGTTTCCCGCTGCAGACCGTCAAAAAGCAAATTAACAATGAAACGACATATAAAAGAACACGATAAAGGAGATGATGAGTCAAATAACTGATATACACCCCAACCCTACCCAAAAAACCACCTCCCTCACCATGAAATGGAACAAAAGGAGACTTGTTACTCACCCAACAGGAAACTGGATTATGATTACAATATACTGGCATGAATTGACAAAATGAAGACAAAGATAAAGCAAATTAGACTTCATTATTTGACCAGCAGACAGATAAAGGATGAGACTAGAAAATGGACGGGTAGAGACAATTCTTGATCTTTTTTATTCAAAAAAAAAAAAAAA